TTCAATTCTCTCAAATGGACTAATTCAGGAGCAAACCATCAAAAATAGGTAGAAATTTCACTGATAATTAGAACGTAACCACCTATGATGCCATTCATGCATATATCATAACACTATAGTGACTAGGAATATAGCATCTATTTTCATGGTGTAAATCAAATTGTCTTGTGGATAGCACAGTTATACTCAATGCCTAACCGGCTAGGTTTACTTCTGCAACACTTGTCCCAGGTCTAAGAGAAGAAAAAAAAAAAAAAAGCAGGAAAATCCCCATCTTTTATTATGTATTTATATTTTTTGCTTACATGTAGAAATTGGGTTTGATCGGATCATATTCATACAATGCTAGTTAGAATAAGAGCGTGCAACTTGATGTGAAAATTGTGCACATAAGTTCAACACAATGTTAAAACCAATCAATCATAGGTGAAATAGCCTTTCTTTTATTTAACCTATAAGTTAACCTATAAGTTTTATCGTTATAAATTCAATGTAAGATTTTCCAACTTATCACTTGAAACCACCGAGAAGATTATGTTGCGGTAACACTCTACTACTTGTATACGTGGAAGTAAGGGTGCCATGCCAGGGAAGAGAAAATCTTTGAAACATATAGGCGGAAAGAGAATTCTTCCCACTACTAGAAAACAGAGTATGATCGACAGAAAAGACTGTCAATTATAGAAGGATTTTTGTCAATTATGTTATAATTGACAACCAAAACTGCCAAATAAACAGTGGTAAAAAAATGTTAACAATCGACAAAAATTTTTTCTGTCGAATATGCAACTATAATTGACAGCCATTGGCTGTCGATTATACTTTGCCAAAAAAAAAAAATTTTATCGACAACCATTAGCTGTCGATTATGCAACTGTAATTGACAGTTAATGGCTGTCGATTATACTTAGGTAGCTATAAAAAAAATATAAAAGTTCAATAAAATTAAGAATTATATTCATAATGTTTTTTGCTAATTAAATTATATATAAAAAAAAGAATCAAACAAAATTTAATACAACTATCGAGTCTTACAACAATATATTTATGAAATAATGTTAAAAATAATATAAAAATAAAAGATAAACATAAATAAAATTGAAATGAGAATTCTAACCTTATTTTGAGATAATATTTTGCAAAAAAAAAAAAGGAAAAGAAAAATGCATTGGTATATATTATGATTTTATCAAAAGAAAAGAAAATAAAAAGTACATGTTAAATTTAAAAGAAAATTTTACCTCATTTTAGTAAGAAAATCTGCAAAAAAAAGAGAGAAAAAAACCTATTAGTATATCAAATAATTAGAATTTTTAGTTAAAACTAAATGGAAGTAATTGGTTGATGCATTAAAAAAAAAAAAGCGCATTGAATGAGAAGGATGAAGAGAAAGAAGATGATGGATTGTCAACAAAAATGATAATGGAATAAGTATAAATGAATAATGAAATAAAAGTAGAGATATTTGCAAAAATACAAATGGGAGAATATAAAAGATGAAAGAAAAAAAGAAAATGAAAATTAAAATGAGAAGAACTTCAAAGAAAAAATGGAATATTTTACCTGTGAAAAAGAATGAGAAGTGAAGATAAAACCGAAGATGAAAATGAGAAGGCAATAGGATGTTCTGGTTTTAGAGCCCTTATATAGTCAAAATATATTTGACAGAAATTCTGTTGATTATGTTTCAAATTTAATTAGCTGGGAGATTTAATTTTTTTGGGTTGAATGGGTGGGATTCGAGTATAATCGATAGCTGAAACATAATTGACAGCCAATGGCTGTCGATTATAAATATAACCAACAGTCAATGGCTGTCGATTGTAAGCTCTGTTTTTTTTTTTAATATTTAAACTAATGTGCTATTTCTTTAAATTAATGTTCAGTAGAATTTTTGGTTTTAATTTTCAAATTTTAATCAATTAATAATTAATAATTAATAATTAATAA